CCCCCCTCCCCCCCCAGCAGGTCCCGGCCAATGGGTCTCTCCTCGGACACCCCCCCCCCACAGCTGGTGGACGCGACAGGTCTCAGGAACCCTCCCTGTCGGCAAAGCCCAGTTGATATCCCGACGTAAGAGACGGGGGGAAATCACCAGACAGCGGCAGAGCCCCACACCGCGACGGACACGAGGAAAGCCCCGGGAGACCCTGGCTTAGCAGCTCGCAGCTGCCAGGTCTTGCTCCAAGACACCTCTCCGCGGGGAGGCTGCGACATCGCCTCCTTCCCGTCCCCGTTAAGCTAGGAACGAGGGAGGGCGCGGGGCCGAAGCAAGCGCTGAACTCAATAAAGTGTGTACGATCGATAGAAAAGAACACATACCGCCTCTTGCAGGCACCCACTTACCCATGGGCGACCCGAAATGAGGTCCTCGGGGTGGCATACCCATGGGTGGGGGTCCAGGGTGTGGCATGCCAGGTGGGGGCCGTGGGGGAGGCTGGCCTCCGGAACCCGGTGGTCCTGGGTGATGCTGGCCCATCCCGGGCGGCCCGTGGTGGACTTGCATGGGAGGCATTCCTGGGGGAATAATGAGTCAAGGGACGTTCGCAGCGAGGGCAGCCGCTCGGCACGGCAGCTCCGGCCCCCTGCGGCCCAGAGGGGCACTAAATCCAGCTGTACGGTTACGACGTCAGGTCTGCAAAGGGGGTTCTGCTACCAAAAGGGAGGTTAAAGAGGAGAAAGCGCAAAGTTCGCCCACAAGGGGCAACAGGAACAGGCTGCGGCACAGGAAACGCTGCTTGGACGTTAAGCGGTGGCAGGGGCGAGAAAGACGTGACAGCGAGCGTGGTGCAGCCCTGGGACGGGGGCTCGGAGAGAAATCACCACCCTTGGAGATTTTGGACAAGCCCCTGAGCAACCCGACTTTGAAGCTTGCCCTGCCCTGAGCAGGAGCGGCCCGGGTCTCCCTCCAAATCTATTTTTTTGTATTATTCTCTTATTTTATCCCTTTAAAAAAACCAAACACGGATTCTGTCTTCCTTATCGGAAACCCAAGAGCCTGGCGCGGCTCCACAGGGCAGGCGGCGTGGAAGCGCTCGGTCAGGCTTTCCTTCGCCGTGCGTAATTGGCCACTCTAAAGCCCGAAAAGCCAGCTCGTAACTGGGGACAAGCAGCAGCCATCTGGTCGCTCACACGGCCAGAGCCGCGATCACACAAAGCGCCCTAATCAGCCAGCGCGGGAGCGCGTCTCACTGCAGGGGTCGTTTTAGAGCAGGCAGGATTAAAAACACACACACAAAAAAAATTAAATTGCGAAGTTCACTTAATTTTTGCATTTGAAACCAGAGTCTAGATGTACACGCTGCTCACTCCCCAGTACTACAGGGCTAAAAATGGAAGGAAATCAAAGAGACATTTTGTTCTCGTGTCTTGAATTAGCTCCTGCCTGGCAGAGCCGCAGACTGCGCTAAGAAGGTTCACACTTAACGTATTAATTTACACCAGAGAAAAATGACGAAGACTTGGAGTCTCGTTAACATCCTCCCAGCCAGAACAGCGCCCGAGACCTTAAAAGCCCGCGTCGCAACAGACCCTGCCTTCCCACGTCCCGCACCTTCCCACCTCGAGGAAACTAACGTCTCGACCCGCCTGGATGCCTCCCGGAAGGGCAGCGCTTCCTAAATAACCAGACCGCTTCATAAATCCCGCTGGGCCCCGCTCCAGGCTATTTTTTTTAAACCCGTTTTAGAACATCCAGGAGAGAAACCCAGAAACCAGGCGCGGCGCCGCTGACGTGACGTGCTCGCCTCTACGCAGACCCTGCCTTTTCTTCACCCAGCGCTGCAGAGAGCAACGTCTCGGGGAAAGACGCCGCGTTCAGCCCCTTACAGAGGATGGCAACAGGTTTCTCCCCATTTTACAGAAGGGGAACCTCAGGGAAGAAGGAGGAGGGGGCGATTTACCCAAGCCCACCCCCCAGAAGTAGAAGACGAGCGACGTTTCCCAAACCCGATACCCATCCGATGCTTACCTGGATGGTGCATCCCGC